CACACACACACACACACACACACACACACACACACACACACACACACACACACACACTCTCTCTTACTTTTCTCAGGCAGCTGCAGCTCTGCAGATTTCTCAGCCTGNCCTCACAGTTAATCAATTTATGGATGCATTGCCCATGATTAACAATGTGCAAATAACAACTACCATAGTGCAATGCCCATACAGCTGCCAGCCTGATGAGCTTAACACTCATTCATAGGCTAACTCACCAGTGAGCAGAACGCAGTGGTTTCTATATGAACAATAAAGAATACAAATTAAACTTTCACAAACAGGTATTTCATAACTGCTTACAGTAAGGAAGACATTTAAACTATTATTGGCAGTCACAGGCTGCTGTAAACTAAACACCACTCTCTCTGACATAACTCCTCACTGAGTGATTTAACTCAAATGTCTAACTTTCAGGTTTCTCTTTTCAGCCGCAGACCCCATGTCGCCTCTTTATGTGCGCCGCTAAGTTCCTCGTAGTACTTGTGTACTTTAAAGCGGCACGGCATCGTTTACAATTTGCGAGCGATTTTTCAAGTTGACCGTCTTTCTTGAAAAACCCGAAGTGTTGCCCAACGTTTGATTTGTAGGTATTTTTCGGTGCGCTGTGTTTCTCTTTCTCCTCGACCTCCATGTGTGTTGATAACTGAGACTCTCGGCCTCCATAGTGCGAAGCAAAGATCAAAGATCGTCTCTGCTGAATGCTGACAGGATGAGGGGATATTATGTGAATGAATCGTTTTTTTACCGATGCAAATCGATGCATCACGAGTTCAACCCAAACTGTAGCCGATGTGCACACATAAACATCTTCAACGTTTATGCCGGTGCACCGATGCCAATCGGTGAATCTTAACATCTCTAGTGAATACACACACTATACAGAGATGTGCTGGATGAGAAAACGATGTGAGTTTGGAACATTGAACAATGTAAATGTATTCTAGTAGACCTCAGCAATGGAATTATGATCAGTGGAAATGGCCATGACATGGGACCTTTCACAGTATTTGACACTAAATGTGCCTTTGTAATCTGTTTCAGTCTTCCAATGAGCAACCGCATGAGGAAGAAAATGCAGAAAAAGACGTCCTACGAGAAGACAAAAGAGGAATTTGAGTCAGTGGAAGAAAAACGGAAAAAGAAGAAAGAGGTGAAAGAAGTTTTATGTTAATAATGACTCAACATAGTTTATGTATTTTTGTTTCTTATGACTTCAATTCAAAAGCAGTCTGACGCTCTACTGATGGGTGGTCTTTTTCTTCTCATTTCTTATTCTTTTGTATGTATTCCAGGATTTCCTGACAGACAAGCAGCAGAGAGACGAAGCCATCAAGAAGTACAAACAGAAAAAGGAGGAGACTTTTCAGATACTCAGCAAAAAGACGAAAAAAGGACAACCCAATCTGAATTTACAAATGGAGTATTTGCTTCAAAAGATCACTCAAGGAGCTGGGAAATGAGTCTCAATGAAGAATATATGGGACCCTGCCTGTATTCCATTGCGCGTTAAAAAAACAAACAGAGATTACCCAAGGACGACCAGGATTGAACTTTTCACACAAAAATATCTCTTTTCAGTGCTGATTTATGTTTAGAATGGTGTTCTGCTCTTTTTTCAGTATTTTGCCCCAGGAAAAATAAAACTGTTAATTTTTAATATCAGACCACAAGGTGGCATTGTAAAACATGAGGAGAAGGGAAAATGTGCTTATGTAAGCTATTATTATTACACAATAAATGTTTTATCTTTCTGTAACGTGTTGTTAATTTCATATGGCAAAGACATTTCAGTTTTAGCTTTTACCATGACGTAAAATCATCATTCACTAATCAGTCATTTTGGTTTGACCTTTAAAAATCGAAATCCATCCTCAACTTCAGTAAGCTGCAAGTGGCTGCTTTTACAGTAGTCATACATCCTGTATAAACAATTAAATGTAGTGTTATTAGACTGCTATTGTCATGTTTACAGACACAAACCTGTTTACATGTAGCCCACTGAGAGATCCCCCCCCCCCCCTCTCTCTCGCTGTGGGACGCAGGCTGAAAAGCCTCCAGCAGCTTCCTCATGACATCACATGGTCACAGAGTGACTTCTGTAACGCTCATCTGAGGCAAGACTTCCTAAACACGGAGCGCAGCCGCTGCTCTGTTGACACTCAGACAGAGCTCACTTCTGCTCCTCATTTGTCAAAAGGTAAGACTTCTTCTGTTTCTGGTTTATTTAAAGACGCCATTTGTAGGTAACCGCAAAGTATTTTAAAAGCTGCATATGTAGTTAAGTTGAGAGGTTTGGAGCAGAAAGCGTTTCCCACAAGTAAGGTATTGTTTTAAAGAAAGGCTGCAACCTTTTATGTTTTAAAATTACATATCTAGCGGAGTATAACAGATTTTGACGGTAATCTTAAACAGCAGAGGTGCTTTCTTATTTTTCAAGGAGTCTTTTGAGGATACAAAGGGGAATGTATGGTTCTTATGTTCAATTTACAGGTCTTTAACTTTATTGTTTGTTCTCCGAAAAGCTGAAAAACTGTCTTATTAGAAAGTAAAAATCACTTTCCCATCACAACAGTTAAGAAAACATATTTTGCCTTCAAAATAACATATCTGTTTCTTACCCCGGCTCTTAACACTGCAGACAAGACAGTAGAGCGGTGAAATTATGGTGGGAAAACAAGAATGGCGTGTGTTGTGTGGTACATTACAGCTCTAAATTCAGCCGCTCCTGCAGGCATTATGCTGTCATGTGTTCTGTATGGCGGGGTCTTAACATAATCCTTTACAGTGTTTACATACCTTTGTGAGTTGTTCCTGGTTTATAAGAAAAGGGAAGTACTGTATAGGTGTAAGTGATGTACTGTTGCATTCCTGTTCGGATCACTTGTGTTTCAAAAATGTCTTCTGTATTTCTGCTGTTCTCTCACAGGAGCCAGTTCTCAGATTAAACCACACAGTTATCAGTGATCTCACCATCTGATGCTACTTCCTGCCTCCGTTGTCATGGCGACTGTGCAAGCCCCACAGCTTTGTATACAGGGCCAGTGAGGAGGCCTGATCTCTGGTTCCCCTTGTGACTGCCAGTGAAATACATGCTGCGTACACCCCTAAAGATCCAGACATGGAGGAGGAGGGCCGGGTGAACGGCTTCGACCTGAGCCCAGGGAGGAGGCGCTCGGACTGGGGCAGCATTGCCCTGCTGGACAAGACAAAGGAGTTCTTCCAGACCTGCGACGTGGAGGGCAAAGGCTTCATCAGCCGCACAGACATGAGGGTTAGAGATCAGGCTGTGTGTGTTGTTAAAGTGTGTGTGTCAGCTTGAGGTTGGGATGGAGAGACTCAAGTTAAAACATGTAAATCAGAGTTGGGAAGTCCATTTGTTCAAGTACTGCACTTAAGTACAACTTTGAGGTTATTTTACTTTGAATACATTGCCCTGATAATACTTTTTTACTTTTACTTAAGTAAGATTTGGAATGCAGGAATCTTTATTATAATGTATTATTATAATACACATAGAAGGACATCAAAAAAATCCATCCCAGTTTATCAAAGTCAAAATGTTGTCAGTTCAAAAACAGAAAAGCAAGATCTCTACATATTTCAGAGGCTTAAAACTGTGTTTTCTGACATTTTTACACAAAGAATTCCGTGAAGGATTATCAAATAGTAAATCTGTTGATCTGACTAATCTACTAGTCGTCGCTATTGAAAGTCTAAGCTTTCTAGTTTATCAGGAGAGATATTGATGGCATGATAAGTCTGCTGGACACTTTTGTTACTGATTTTACATTTCCTTTAAAGCACAAACTATTTGTTTATGGAAGTTTGTTTTCAGTGTCACACTCAACCTTTAAAGTCTCTTATTCTTTTTTGAAAATGTAATGCTGCTCTGCGAATGCATTAATAATAATAATAATGGGTTTAATTTATAACGCACTTCATATCTGAGTTCAGATCCCGAAGTGCTACAAGCATTTTGCTTTAAGCCTCCATTAGGAAGAACAATAGGTCAAGGAGACATTTAGCTGGGCCTAGTTCATTGTCCACTGGTGCTGTAATGACAGTGAACGGAAAGCGGGAAACACTGTCACTGTGTCGTCCTCGCTCAATTCTGGTTGTTTTGTTCCTAACCTTTGCTAAAGGAGCACTTCACCCACTCAACACACACGAACAGTGGCAAAGAAGCACCATTGATGGAAATGTTTAGGTTCACCTCATTCCCTCTTTCACACACACACAAATCATCTTACTGGCGGTAACAACACACACGCGCCTTTTCAAAGCGCTAACAGTGTCCGAGCTGTCAGTTCAATAGGACAGGACCCTTGTTAGCGTCAGGCCTTTTGTTGCTGTTGTTTGTGTTCAGGGTTTCTAAGAAGAGCTCTCTTCAGTGACACGTCAAAAACAACTCTGCTCCAGTGTTCACTCTGCACTCGCTGTATGAGGAATATCAAAACAGAGCTGGAGGATTACAATCACTTTTACAGGAGAAGCAATCAGATTTTCTACTTACTGTGAGTGAAAGTAGAAGTACCAGAGTGTAGGAATACTCTGTTAAAAAGTAAAATTCCTATATTTACAGTTACTCAAGTAAAAGTACAAAAGCATTAGCATCAAAATATACCTAAGTATCAAAAGTAAAAGTAGTCATTGTGCAGATTGGTCCATTTCAGAATAATATATATGATATGTTTTATAATGATTGATCATGAAAGTGTTCTCAAAGCTGGTAAAGGTGCAGCTAGTTTGAATGACTTTGTATACTGCAGGGTAGCTTGTGAATTTACTCCAGGTGGAACTAAAGTCTGATTTAACACATGATTATATTTCACATCATTCATTCAAATTTGCAAAGTAACTAAAGGTATTAAATAAATGTAGTGGAGTAAAAGAACACAATTTACCTCTGAGTTGTAGTGGAGTAGAAGTACAAAGTAGCAAAAAATGGAAATACTCAAGTAAACACATGTACCTCAAAATTGTACCTAAGTTCAGTACTTGAGTAAGTCTACTTAGTTACTTTTCACTACTGTTTATAGGTGACATTTATTGAATCTAACTCCCAACCACGTCCAACTTAATATTTAACATCCTTAACAGTGTGTGTGTGTGTGTGTGTGTGTGTGTGTGTGTGTGTGTGTGTGTGTGTGTGTGTGTGTGTGTGTGTGTGTGTGTGTGTGTGTGTGTGTGTGTGTGTGTGTAGAGGCTCCACAGACAGCTGCCTCTGTCTGCAGAGGAGCTGGAGGACGTATTCGACTCTCTGGATACGGACCACACGGGTTACCTCACGCTGGAGGCATTCTCCTCTGGATTCAGTAGGTCTCCTGCCCTCTAACGCTTCTATCTGTATACAGCTTACTTTGATCTTACACTAATTGAGCTCTTAATGCTTTGGCACCCTCATATCTCACCGATTCACTCTAGTTGTATGTCCCTGGACGAGCCCTGAGGTCCTCTTCAAATGGCTTTTTAAATAATCCTAAAGTCCCTGTCTATCTATTATAATATGATGTCATGCATACAAAAAGATTTTCCTGTTCGACCTGAAGTACTAAAGGAAGAACCAGCACCTTACCCTCTCTGAAGAACCAGCACCTTACCGTGGTAGAGAGGTTTGTGTGACCTGATGAACCTGGGGGCTGTGTTGTCTGGAACCTTGTGTTCCTGGTAGGGAATTGGTCTCAGGCAAGGGGCCAGACTAAGATTGGTTCACAAGACCTCATGAAAGACGACATACGAAGTGAGGATACCCGGCCCGGAGGAAGCCTGGGGTCCCCTTCTGGAGCCAGGCCCAGAAGGAGGACTCGTCGGTGAGCGTCTGGTGGCCGGGCTTGCCACGGAGCCCGGCCGGACACAGCCCGAAAAGGCAACGTTGGCAACACCTCCGCTTCTCCGTCCCGCGGGCCCATCACCTACGGGAAACAGCGATGGGGTCGGGTGCGCTGCCAGAAGGGTGGCAGTGAAGGCAGAGGGTCTCGACGGACCAGACCCGGGCGACAGAAGCTGGCTTTGGGGACATGGAACGTCACCTCTCTGGGGGGGAAGGAGTGGGAGCTTGTGCGGGAGGTGGAGCGTTACCAGTTGGATCTGGTTGGGCTCACCTCTACGCACAGCGTCGGCTCTGGAACCTTACTTCTGGATAGGGGTTGGACTCTATTCTTCTCCGGAGTTGCTCAAGGTGTGAGGCGCCGGGCGGGTGTGGGGATACTCACAAGTCCCCGGTTGGGTGCTTCGTTGTTGAAGTTTACCCCAGTGGACGAGAGGGTCGCCTCCCTACGCCTGCGGGTTATGGGGGGGAAAACTCTGACTGTTGTGTGTGCTTATGCACCCAACAGCAGTTCAGAGTATACGGCCTTCTTGGAGACCCTGGAAAGAGTCCTGTATGGGGCTCCTGAAGGGGACTCTTTAATCTTGCTGGGAGACTTCAACGCACATGTGGGCAATGATGGAGACACTTGGAGGGGAGTGATTGGGAGGAACGGCCCCCCTGATCTGAACCGGAGTAGGGTTTGTTACTGGACTTCTGTGCTAGTCATGGATTGGCCAGAACAAACACCATGTTCGAACATAAGGATGCTCATAAGTGTACGTGGTACCAGAGCACCCTAGGCAGAAGGTCCATGATCGATTTCGTTATCGTATCATCGGACCTGAGGCCGTATGTTTTGGACACTCGGGTAAAGAGAGGGGCGGAGTTGTCAACTGATCACCATCTGGTGGTGAGTTGGGTCGAGTGGCGGGGGAAGCCTCTGGATA